CATAATCAAAGTTTAACGGACAATTTCACAAATGTTTTTCATCTTAAGATGTCGGCCATATTATGTGTTTTATAGCTTACGTTCCTCTTCATGCAACCCAAACTTATGCCGCAAATGGGACACAACTGCATCTAGTTGTGCAACCCTGTGTTGCGTTATAAAGATAAATGATCCTTGAGCCCTTTTGTGGAAGATGGATGTGGATGCCTAAACAACATTTCATTCTCAAGACTGAAGTGATTCCATTGCTCCATGTTTCCTCTACAGAGACACACAGACAGTTGTCAGCCCAAACTTTGTATGCAAACCAAATCACTGGCTATTGGATGTGTTTTTTTAATGTGTTAACCTGTTATTCCAAGAACTGGCTCCAGATCAAGCACATGGTATTTGTAACAATCTCTGGCCAAAAGTACCCAAAGACACTATACTATACTATAGTTATGATTAAATACACCATACAAGCACAATTGTAGAGATTGTATATACATGTACTGTACGTATATGTATATTTATATACAGTACTTGGTTACAGTATCTAATAAAAAGGAATTTGATCTGCATTCGGCCACTGATTCTTTTGGCATCTGTGTTAATGGAAAAATATAATAAAAAGCAGGAGTTTTAGACACAACTCTGCATCTGGTTCTAATTAGGAAAGTTGACAAAAGTTCATCTCTCTAAAATGAGTGACAGTGATTTAGATCAATCAATTGAAACCAGTAGGAGGTGTGGTTTCCAGCAGTGCAGCCAGAAAATGCACACTATAAGTGACAACTAGGTCAGCTAGAATCTAAGCAACTAGAACACACGTTTCTGTATCAGCTTTCTGAACACTATATTTGTGATGTTTTAATAACTTGTTTTAATTGAGTACTGACCAAAACCAAAACTTGGTTAAACCATCGAGAAAGAGTCTCACGACCTGTGCACACATGTGAACTGAAACGCTGCCTTGAACCGTTCAATAGAATTTTTGCACTTCCCCCCGGGATTCAAGACGCTTAAGGGGCCAAGGGTCTCGAGAGGAAACAATCAACTTGAAAAAAACGTACAAAATTACAAAAAGTACTTAAAACTAAATTGAGTCAATCGTAACTGTCAACGGCCTCACCATTGAATTTGATGGAATTCTAACGAGCCTAACAGGACCTCAAGAGAGTAACAATGAATGACAACGGGCCGTGCATCAACAGCATGAGTAACTGCTCTGTCGGACCTCAGTGTGTGAAAAATGTCAAGGGAACGTCTGCTCTGCTGAGTCTCTACATGCAACTTTTCTCACTCTGTACTAACACAGGTCAGACCACGGGGTTTCGTGCCCAATAAAGCGTTACATCGTGCAAACCGTGAGTTTTCTAGTGCGGCTTTAATGCTACAGAAACCAAACATGTCTATCACATAATGGTCCTCCACCTCTTGAGCTGTGTCAAAACAAGTGACTAAGACCAAGAGACTCTCCAGCAGGCGCCTCTGATAAAAGTCTGGGTTCTGTCTCCTGGCTATCATGGGAATCCAACATGTGAACTTTCCACTCTGGACTAATCTCTCTGCTGCCCCAGAGTCTCTGGATCAGAGCTGTTGGAAGCTCTGTCGTATCTGCATGGAGTTACTCGTAGGAATAAAGGCCTGATAAGCAGCTCTTGACCTCAACTCCTCCGGCTTTTTTTTTTTTATCTCCGTCATTTTGGTTTCAGTCTCTGTTCATATTCATCACTCTCCCACCTTTATTTGTCCAAAACTAAGATTTAGGATAAGTTGCGCTGACAAAAAATCTTATATTATATGGATCATGTCACAAGTGCTGATGTTTTCAACCCAAGATGAGACATGATCCTGCTAGCCATGAAATATGGATGTGTTTGAATTCACGGGAGATGCTGGCCGAGCCATGAAGTTGGGAGAAACGCCAAAGGAGGCAACGTAAGTGCTGGAAAAGAAAAATAAAACTACAAGTCAAGCAAGAATTCAAACAAAAAGAAAATGTGGATAACACAGAGTTGAATCTTTATTCCAGCGGAAAACTGGCAGCCTGCTCCGAGTGTGTTTGTGCATGCGTCGTGTGTGTTTGTGAAAATTGGGCCTCCCGTGCATTTGTGCTGGAGCCACTTAGCTTTTAGATGGCCGGCGTTAAATTTAAGAAAGGCTTGTTGAAAAGGCCGATTTGATGGCTTTTCTAAAACAACCTCATCTAAAGAGCTTGAATAACCGAATACCTCTGTGACGACGTTGAAGCCGTTGCAAACTGTTAACTACGTCTCTGCGCCTGGGAACACTGGCATCGGCCATGTGGTTACGCCGTGAGTGGGAGGCTCGGGGGGGAGGGAGTCTTGAAATGAAATTAGGATTAGAGCAGTCAGTTCCTCCAGGATCCCGCTGGTCTGAAGCCAGCCAGCTCTTAAACCCGTCTTTCTGTGTCCGTCACTTATCTTTCCAACTTCGTCCTTCTTAATTGCACGGCTCCTTTTAACGTGCTTCCTTCTCTCTCGGCCTCTATCAGCCTCTCGTTGTCTTCCTCTACTCTGATGACGGGAGCTGGCCGTTTACAAGGGGGCCACAGCAGGGTCTGCAGAATGGAACAGACGTAGGGCGGGACACACCTCTAAAATGTCTTATTCCCACACACACGCACACACACACACACACACACACACACACACACACACACACGGACACACAGTGGATTGGCCACGGCCAGGGTTTTTCCAAATTAACCAGGAGCAGGAGGAAGAACTGCATAGGTGTTGAGTAAAAGTGTTTTTCACCTTTTACATTACATTACATGTCATTTAACTGACGCTTTTATCCAAAGCGACGTACAATAAGTGCATTCAACCATAAGGATACAAACTCAGAAGAGTAACAAACAAGAAAGTGCAATTTCCTCAAATAAGCCAATTTATAATTTGCTATAGATGAGTGGTGTTATAAGTACAATTTAAGTGCTACAATTTGTTAGTGTTTTAGTCAAGGTAGAGTCTGAAGAGGTGTGTCTTTAGTTTGTGGTGGAAGATGTGAAGGCTCTCTGCGGTCCTGGTGTCTTCAGAGAGCTCGTTCCACCATTTCAAGGACAGCAAAGAGTCGTGATCCAGTCGAGTGTTTTGCTCTCAGTGAGGGAGGGACGAGCAGTTTTGCAGATGCAGAGCGGAGAGTGCGGGTCGGGATGTCGGGTTTGACCATGTCCTGGATGTAAGCTGGACCCGATCCATTCACAGCATGGTACGCGAGCACCAACGTTTTGAACTGGATAGGGGCGGCCACCGGTAGCCAGTGAAGAGAGCGGAGGAGTGGAGTAGTGTGGGAGAATTTTGGAAGGTTACCTTATTACCCTTTCATGGCAACATATAATACCTCAAGGGATTTGTGGGGGTTTTAAAAGGAAGAAAGGAGATTCTCCCATATTTGCAGTCAACACTTTCACTATGTTTAGGCATCGTGTTGTTCTCTGTCCAAGTCCACTCTGCCCTGAAGGTCTTAAAAAATGATTCAATTTTTGTTGTGTTAAATCTAGCTGACGTGGGAATTTGAATCTCAGATTTCAGTGCCCATCTTCAGGGTGCCTTCAATGTACCTCTTTAGTGATAGTCTTTACCACTGACATTTTAGTGGATTGAAACTTGAGAAAGATGCATTTTTGAAGGGGATACCTTAACTGAAGGAAACCATACATCATTGCATACACGACAGTATTCGTAATGTAATGTATACACTTTAAGTCTGCATTAAACTATTCCTCAAACCTATTGTTTAAGAACCGAACCACTTTCTGTACTTTGCTAAGGGAATTGTCGTATCACAGGCTCACAGAAAATCTATTTTAATGCCAACTCATGAATCAGGCTAAGGGAATTTTGATTTTATCCCCAACATGGGAAGCCCTCCTAGAAAACAGTCTCTATACTGGACCACCTCATGCAGAAACCTGGAAACCTGGTACTCACACAATCATGCACAAGGGAAGAGTGGAAACTATGCAGGACAAAGGAACCAGCCACCATCATGCTTTATCTCTCCTTTGACCTTCAAAAGTCTGTCCTGCTTCAAAGGTGATGTGACATGCAGCATGAGTAGGAATCAAGTTCAAACTGGTCAAACAGTTGGAATACTCATCAGAAAACCTTTGAAGCTGCGCTAAACCTTTCTACTTCTACTTGATTGAAAAATATTAACAACTTTTCAACAACCATGTCAGTAAAATCCTCAAGAGGATGAAGTCAATAAAATCACCAGCAGGACTTTTACACGACCAAAGTTTAGGTTATGATTCAAAAGACTGTATGTGTATGTGTTTCGTGTGTGCATGCGTGTGCGTGTGCATGCGTGCGTGTGTGTGTGTGTGTGTGTGTGTGTGTGGGGGGGGGGGGGGTGGCGGGGTCATTGTGTTCTCAATGCTAAACCAGAGTAGACAGTTTAAAAGGGGGCTACGGTTTCAGACCACGTCCCCACAGTGTTACCTTAGACTACTAAGTGGGGTTTTGTGGGTCATGTGTGTGTATCTACGCACGTGTGTGTCCTTAATTGCAATTCAACCTTGAGGAATGGCCGATGTCATCTGCACAGAATTTATTTATTTTAGTATTTATTTATTTTACTTCTCTTTCTCTCTGAATGAGGCAGACTAGTGATGAAGGAAAGTGGCAGAGCTGAAAGAGCTTGAATACAGCGTCAGGGAATCCGGGTCTACGGGACTAAATATTCATTTATAGCACACATACTAGCTTGTGGCTCAAGAGAATAGAAATACTTAACTATTACAGTTCAATTGACTTATTCACGTCCTCTTCTATGTCTTGTGTTATATTATTTTATACACGAGTATAAACATACTTGACTAATTCATCATTTTCATAATTTCCCCTGAGAGCATTGGACTGAAAGAAATATGAAATACAAAGATACTCATCAACGACTGTGACTTGTGTTTTAAAAATGATCTAATATTCAGTGGCGGAAACTGATTGGGAACACCAGACATGCAGCTAAAGTAAGTCACACCCTACCTGCCAGGCAGAGTCCAAAGATGGTGAGAAAAACCAGGACGTAGAGGGCAACGATGGCGTACTTGATGGCTGAGAGGGAGTTCATGTGAGCACAGCACGGATCCTGCTTCCTGCGTCGCTTACCAGAACCTGAGCGAGACAACAAAGGGTTAACATCCCAAACAATACTCCAGGCCTAATAATAATAGAATAATACATACTTTGCAGTTGCAATATTATTCAAATGAATAAAAAAGCAACAGCAAATTGGCTTTTTGAATAAATAAATAAATATTGTTTGAATATTTGTGTGCCTTAAATAAAGCTATTTACCTGGAGGCTAGTTGATTGGAGGCTGGCACCATATAAGAACAGAGGGTGTTCACAACAACACGGCTCATGTTTTCTTTACTTTACTTAGAAGAACATGAAACGACTCGTGATTAAGGCTAAACAATGCTTTAAATAATAATAAACCTGCCCCTTACGAGTACAATGACCTACTGTGTGAACCTGAAGTGAGATCATACACCCAGCGATCTACCGCAGTGCACAAAATCAAGTTGTTGGCCGTTTATTTTACCTCACTGCATACAGAACCTGCCCTTGAATAAAAATAAGCAGATAGGGATTTGAAACCTATTCATGGTTCGCTAGTAGTAATAGTTTGGAGTCCATTGTACGAAAAATATACGTTTGGAAAACTAACGATTATTTTGATTATCGATTAATCGTCGATTATTTCTTCGATTAATCAACGAATCCGATTAAAAAAACAGCATTAGAAATCTTTTTTCCAACCCTTTAATCTAAAACAGAACTACAAATTCACATTGCAAAAATACTTCAGAAAGTACAAGATGCTACTTGAACATAATAATTCATGAAAAAAATAAAGAAAAATACAAATCAGAAAATGTAACAGGATTTGTTTTAACGTCAGAACTTGTTCTGAAGCTCCAGTCAGACCTCATTCATGCAAACACCAAGATTTGTGATAAGGGCTCTTTTTTTTTTAGCTCTACAAGAAGGGGCTGGACCAAATCTGGAGTCTCTTTAGAATGAATAAAAAGTCTCCCAAATGAGTACTTATTAAAGCAATAAGGTACGAGGGCCGTGAGATCCAAAAGAGTTTAAGGATGAAAGGGATTAAATGCCTCGGAGACATCAATCAATTACCATTACTGGGGATTCCCCCCAGTAACTTTCAATTATCCTTTTATTCAGGCTTTGGGATTGAATTGATTGAGTACAGATGGAGTTGACCTGCGGACAGATGTGTAAGGTCGCGTCAAGTTGGGAGAATTTATATGTTCAATTGAAATACTCAAGAGCGACACCAAAACGCTACTGCATCTGCTTCACGTTGTACACGCATTCATGACAATTCCATTTGTGAACACGTGACATTTGAAAAATAATACAACAGCGATATTCATTATGAAGTCATTATTATCGTCTTTTACACAGCGGTGTCTGTGATTACCCACAATGCCATTGACACTTTCAGGTCTCACGTGTCACGCACGTGTCGTCTATTACACAGTGGTGTCTCTGCGACTCATTGAGTGACGTCATTTATCGCGCGACACAACGAATCGACAATGAAATTCGTTGCCAACGCTTTTAATAATCTAATTTGATCGATTTAATCGATACGTTGTTGCAGCCCTAAAATCAAGCATATCATTTTCAATGTCAGGGACATTGTCTCTTCAAAATCATCCCAGGGCACATATGTTCACATAGAAGAGCCATTATTCCTGTATTTGTCTAAACTGAAGGGTTTGTAAAGTATGACAAATGACACACACACACACACACAGGGTCTCTGTGTTAGCTTGGCAGGAGGCAGTGAACAACATTACATGGTTATATATGTATTTATTATACCATGAAGCATGTATAATTATATTTAAAATATCAACACATCATTATCAAAACTAGTTGTAATGTGCACCATGGTGGAGTCGCCATTTAACACCTCATATCCAAAGGCACATCATTTAGACCCCATTTAACTTTTAAAGCTCTGTTAGTTATCTGTGTTCCCTCATAAAGTGTGTGAACGGCACTCTTGTTTTGCTCTTTTTAAACGGCACGCCAGTGAAACAAACTGCCCCATGGTGTGGAATACCTTCTCCAACAGGGGGAGTGTGAATAGGCTCGATGGTTCAAGTAGTTGGACGAGGACAGTCTTCTTAATGTGTGCGCCCATTGTCCGACTTCCCTCAAAATGTCAACAGATTCCTCGGTTCATTTTCACTAAGACTTTCCCACCAAACCTTGGATTGAAACCTGAGACTACAACGTCGACTGTGGTCGATTTGTTGCAGCTGCACCTGTACATACATTCTCACACAGACGCACATTTTTCACAGATGACCATAACTTAGAGTGGATGCCAAGCAGTGACAGCATCAAGTCTTGTCGTGTGTCTGGATTTTTGATTGGTGGGTTTGTGTGTATTTCTGTGTAGAAAGTCTCTCTGAAAATCAAGCATGGTGCATGACGATCTGTGTGAACACTCACATAAAGTTCCCAATTGTTCATACATGTATTGAATAATCTGGGTATTTAAACAATTGATAAAGGTTTAAGCAAACCTTCAATCAGATTGAAACAAATCTGTAGTGTTTGTGAACATGTTTGTTTTTCATGAATCAGAGGTTCCTTTTTTAGTTTTTCTGTGCTCATATTAAACCATAAATTACCGTGGTCAGAGTCTCACTGTAGAGGATTGTACAGTATTTTTAGCAAATGCAGATGTGAATCAATTTGGACTAATAAACTCCTATGTAAAAATAATCTGTATTTTGGGTAAAAGTCAAGTGCAGCTCAGTGTTTTAGTTCTCAACTCTTACCTTCATCACAAAGGTTGAGTTTGGACAAGTTGTGTCCATCGTAGGCCTCTTCGTACATGGAGCCGCTCTCTCTCTCTTCATATGTGCTCAGATACATGGCCTTGTTCTCCATCTCCTCTGACTGAAGAGAGCAAATACACAAGGGATGTTCTACGTTACAAAAAACAAACATCTCTCCTCAAACAACCTGCTTCTTGCACAAAAAGTCCAGATGACAAGAAAAAAAAGACATGGACAAATGCAAGGCTAACATGAAACGTCTGCAGACAGTTTACCATTCATCCTAACCTGCGTTTTGCAGAGACATGTGATATTCTCAGCTGGGATAACTTGTTATGGATTTTGGTCGTCCCTGTTTTGAGGTTTTGGGTTGGGTTATCGTTGAAGGTCCTTACAGGTAAAGACGTTCCAATGCGTGGCTTTGTTTTCCATTCGTGTCCCCCACTGCAGCGAATGCGGTAAATCTTTTCAGAGTCTTGACCGATTCTATTGCAATTTTTAGACTGCAATACAGTCAAAAACACAAGTGAGGATTATGGCTGTCTTTAGACCAGTGCTATATTTGTTTCCTCATACCTCGGTCTTTCAATGGAAAGTGGTTGTCTTTTATGTCCGTCATACCATAAGCAGGATATTTAAAAAGACAAAGCAATGACTAAATGCGCATAAAAAACACTGTGAACTGGTTGGTCAAGAGGGTAGAAAAGAACGGATTCACATCAACTCCTTCAAAAACATTAAGGCTGTTTTTGTTTTAGAACTGCTCTGCTATTTCTTTCTCAAAAACATGATACAGTGTTTGAACGTCAGCTTGAATGGAATTAGTTACTCAATAGCTACCGAGCTGATAGATAGCTGCCTAAATGGTAGATCCACAGCCTGCAGCCCTGACAGCCAACTGGGTCCTTTCAACACAAATGCACACAGCTGCTTATGGATGTCTTCTCATCCTGTCCATTAAAGTGAGCATGCACTTCCTACATCAGCTGCAGCTAAATGTAGTAAACATGGAAAAGCTTTATTCCACAACTTCTGATTTTTACATTCTCAACTACTCAAGACAGTTGTGTTATTGCGTTTGGTCGGTTTAAAGTTACTGTGCATTAACAATATAACACTATACCCATAGGATTTGGGTTGAATGAACTTGAAGTCTGGACATTCATGAGGAGGTGACGCATCGATCAGAAGTAAATATTAATGTGAACACTGCAGTTTGGAAAACTAGCGATTACAGTAAATCCTATTTGTTTTAAACGTGGTGCTGATAAATCTTCCTTAAAGTGTACAGTATAACGGCCAAATCACTGTGGACACAAATCCTCCAGTTGACTTCCAACTCCGTCATAACCTCCAACGTTCCAGCAAAAATGTAGTAAGAATATAAAAACCCATATCTCATGTCCAATTTCAGGCACTTTAATGTGTCCACCACCTCTTTTATAAAAAGTTTAACCTTTAAATACTTTCCTATAGTTCGCTTACAATTGACTTTAACAGAAGCATTAAAAGAAGCTGCAGGAACTCTCGGACGACTGAAGACGGTTTTAACAGAAATGTTTCTGGCCGAATTCCAATGAGTCCTGCTTTCAAAGTCTAAAAGCTGAACCAAATGAAAGGAAATGAGAGAGCCAAGCGTCTCCAAGGGCACTTATTACAACAAGAGAGGATTCCATCTTCAACAACTGTTGACCAATACAGTACATCCAGCAGGTGGTTTAAAATCCCATGTTTTATTTGTCAAAGACTTTAACTGAATTGCAATCAGTTACAACTGACGACCATTTGCTCTGAGCGAAGCACGTTTGCTCTTCTGGTTTGGGTAAAGTTTCCCACGCTACGCGCGATGCAGACCGAATACGACGGCCACATCAACAAAGAGAAAGGGAACACGGAGCAAGTAGATAAAAGCCTCGGTCGGACATGGACACCTTTGACAGCAAATTTTGAAGTCGCTGGGTGTTAAATCCCCACAAGCCTCGACAGCAGATCTGTGAGTGTTTGACAACGTCGTTAAAAAGTTCTCATTCTGGACTTTCTCATTACAGAGGGGACGGAGGGGTCAGGTTGACATTTAGATTGAAGCTGCGCAGGAACCATCAGGGCTGCTAGGAGATACCCAAAAAACGTTCCGTAACCCTGCATACGTGTGTGTGTGTGTGTGTGTGTAGGGGGGAGATGGATGGGGTGGGCAGTGTGAGTTATCTTCTAAATACAATGAGTTCCGTGGGATATTACAGTTGATCACACGGTCCGTTGGTCCCTGTTAGTGAGAGCCAACCGACCATGCTGGGAGGGAAAAGATATCTCTCAACTGTGCAACTGTGGACAAAATAACAGAAACGACTCATGAAATTCAGAAAATATCTAAATAATCTAAAGTAAGCAAAACCTCAGAGCAAAGCGTCGTCCCGAAGCAGCAGCACAGACCATAAGTCACTAAAGGCCTCGATTGATCACCACTGCTTACAGTCCATCCAAGCCCAAAACATTCACGTGCACAACACAGGCCATTTTACAACAGCGAGAATGGTAAACCGTTGACATTGGCGACTGTTTCAGACTTTTCCCTCCGTTCCGGCGTGCATATGATTAAACGCGAAAGAGCCTTAACGCTCAATATCAGCAGCTCATCGTGGCAATTTTCACGTGGCTGAAGTGGAGCTCCATCCAATGACAACAAACAGGTCAAGATGCTGCACCTAAACTAGCCAAGAAGAAAGAGGAGCTAGGCTACTACACAAAATGGCGGTGCGCCCTCGTTCATCTTTTGACGCTCAGGTGTCACCGTGTACCTGGAGGAGATCAGCTTGTTTTCACTTTGTTAAGGGTTGTTCCACAGTGGAATCACACAATTGGATTGTTTATAATGAAGCGTAACGCGCCATTTGCATTTTATTGTTGTGTAAGGAAAGGTGAAGTTGAGCTAGGTGTGACATTTTTATGTACGCTGAGAGTCCAACGGTTCCCAACCTTGGGGCGGGGTTTGGCCCCTCTGAAGGGTCCTCCAGATCAATCAGAGAGGTCCTGAGAGTTTTAATCAAAGAGGAAGGGAGGAAACAATGGAGTTCTGATACACACAAACACACATAAATAGCTATATGTAAGAGTCCGGCGCCTCTCGTCTCAGGCAGAACAACTAATGAAAACATATAGAGATCTGGAAATTATAACAATGTAAGTGCAAGCATTTATAGAACATATAAGGTTTACCATTGTAAATGTCAGTGTTGTCTGCTACAAATTATCCTAAATTTGATTATCTATTCATATCCCATCAGCAAGTGCATGGTATAACTTTTATTTATTAGACGTAGGGAGCTGGGTTGGAGCACAATCTCCCACTGAACCTATGAAACCATGCCCTGCCTTTATTCAGTCATCCATGTGCAACATTAACCCATTTCTCTCGGTTAATTAAAGGCAGAGGTATTTCATCCATGACCACAGAAAGACAAAGCAACAATTTTCTGCGGATGAGCTCCATTAAACGTGCATTTCCTGTTCCCTTGTTCTTGCTGCAGAGCACTGTAGTAGAGCAAAATGAAATGAACCGTTGAACTGTGCCTTCCACGGAATTACAATGAATATTTAACAGATGTCAACCCCTTTGACACTTTAAAAAGGTCAAATGCCCAGGAGATTATGTGGCGATTTAGAACAAATAACTCAATCAACACAATACCACATTAATAACTTTAATTGCACAGTTTAACATATTATCTTTTCGGGAAATGAATGACAGGTGTCACACAGTCAGCTGGAGTTTAAATACAGGTGCAGTGAACGTTAAACCTGCACGACAATAAACACCAGATACAATCAGTGGCAAACGGCTTTTTATCTCACCTTTGCAGCTGTCAATTGAAGAAACAACAAATCACAGCTCCACGTTTCTCATAATTCCCTTGACAAAGTTGCGTCGTGACGTAACTCCAAGACGGCATCAAATACACGCACCACGCGCTCAGTCCCCGTCGGTGGCGCTCAGCTCTGTAGGAGCCACCGAGCTGAGACATTTGGACTAATACGCGCACGCTACATCGTCACGTGACCATCACAAACGTCTCCGGCTGAAGTTGGCTGTGCGCGCCGAGCAGCTGTTGGAGAGGCGCGCGCGCACCCCGCTGTACGCGCACGCCCTCTGTTGGGTGAAGACGGTACATTACCTGACTGGATTTTAAAAGATCACAGAAAAACAAAGCGATAGGATTGATTTGGATGTAAAATAAAGAAGGTATATATACAGTAGGTATTCTTTACACGTTAATGTTTATTTCATGAAACCATCATCAACCAAGTGAAGAAGGTGATAACGAGTCTACATGCAACTACTCTACAATAAGAGTAAACATACTCACATTTATATAGATTGAATAATTCCCTATGCAATTTATAAATACCTGCCGACGCCTTCATAGTTATTTCTCCAACTGTTATCATCTTCTATTTCACAATTATCGTAATGTATTCCATTCTTTAAAATCTTTAGCCAAGTTACAATTTTAAGAAGTAAAGATTTTCCAACCAAAGCAATTTGTTGTGCATATGACAACACGCTCCACTCAGTATCTACTAACTGTAGTAACTGCTTTACCCATAAAGATGGTGGTATAAATTCTTTAATAAAATAAAAAAATAACAATAAATAAAAAACAATCGAACAATCATATCATCGTTGCCAATAACAGGAGTAAAAGTGCACACCTAAAAATAAATATTTTATTCTGCAAGATTATTAATTTGGCTTTACGTCCGCTAACATCTACGTATTATACATATTGTAATACTTGTAATACTACATGAAGGGCTCACGAGCTGCTCTGCAGCAGGAATGCGGAAGGAGACGTGGTCGAGCGCGCGCCCGCTCGGTGGGCGGAGCCGGGAAGCGGAAGGTGTTACATTTCCCACAGGTACAGGACCGCAGGTAAATATGAATATCACTCAGCAAAAATCCATAAATTGTTAAAAAGGTCCGTGCTTCGGTTGACCTACAGTGTGTTCTGGGGGTTTGTGCCATTTACAGGCAGCAGTTGATGTTTCGGAGTTTAACAAAACGACTTTGACTTGTATATTCAGAGCAGTTCGCCAGATAAATTCATATTTTTGATATGTTGATACGTTTAATATGCCGGAACTGATCAATATCAGTACAGACGATCAGTACAGACGAGTACAGAGAGGCACGGCTGCGTTCAAAATACTTCTTGTTTAGTCTGAACTAACATTTACAACCACTTTCTGCGCGTTTAAATCTAAGCTGAACACGATGTGACTGTAAGGGGATGCAGCTTTAGATGAAGTGATGTAGTCTCCTGTTTTTGTTATTTGCCAAAAGTAAACCCAAAGTCAAGCTGCAATTGTTCGAATGCCGAACATAAAATGTGTCTAAGTCTCCTGCCACAGCAGAAGGAATGCATCGAGGCCAGATTGCATCGTGCCAAGTGCCGAATCCTGTAGTTTAACGAGGTCTTACGAAAGTTGGATCATTAAACAGCGACACTTTTCACTGGAGTACACGAGATGGCGTAATTCTGAAAGGCACCACGAGATGGCAGGATCACGCCTGGTGTGGGAAGGAGGACCTCAACCTGCAACTTGAATAATAAGTGTCCCTTTTTACACATTTGGTCCCGTTTTCCTCATTGTACCCCATGAGAATAATCGTCAACGGTCATTTCACTCTCCTGGATTACGTCCTGATTTTATGTTATGTCGTTGAAGTTGTGCAGAGATGTTTGCCATCTTTCTTTTGATGGGAAAGGGTATAAGGACTTAATTTAAGTACTGCTTGCTATCAGTACTTAAATTAAGGCTTTTCATCGAAACTCATGTAAAAAAAAATAACAACATACACAAGATAAATTAAGTATAATGACACGCTGAAGGCTATGACCCCCCCCCTTGTTCCCTGGGGGATGTAAACAGATTCACGCATGGAGGGAAAAAAACCCCGCATCTTTCAAAAAGCCTTTTCGTACCCCCCACCGTGTTGTTGATGCACTGTTTTTTCAGATAACGCCGCTCGACATCACATATTTCTTTCTTTTCTTTCTGCGACCACTCCCCTGCGTCCCGTTGTTATATATTAAATAAATTACCCAACTAAACACTGCCCACACATTCACATCAACTTTGGCTGGCCTAAGGGTTAATAAAACTGTCAAACTAGAGGCAGGAACAGATAGTACGAGAAGGGAGTGGGGGACTGAGACCACCTGAAGCACTTCAGTTCAGCTGTCCAATGTGCTCATACATTTATATATGTGTTACAATATATATATAGTTGGTCAGTTTTAGTTGGAAGACAGAAAGCCAATTTCCCACTCGGCTTGTTGCTGTGAATTGCTTTTGTTCACAAGTCCTGGTTCAGTCGTAAGTGGGCAGTGTGGACCTGAACGAAATGGTTGGAAAGCTGAAGCATAAAACCAGCGTTACAGACAGCAGCGATATTTTTCTTCACCCTCGGCTCGACCCGACTCTGAAGGGTATTTTCCTCTGTCTTCCATCGCAAAGGTCTTAACTCTCTGCATGTCAATTACTCCACTGGGACCTTGTTACTGCCCCTTAATTAACGCCGGAAATTACATTCCTATATTTATACCCCAACCGCCCCGCTGAAAAGGTCACAACAACAGTTTAGCAGTTTTTGCCCTATAGCAGTGCAGCCCTGGAGGATATATGGCTGGGAGGGAGGCCAAAAGAACCCGAGGCGAGGAAGAAACTTTATTTCTTTTTGAGAACAGTAGAATGTTTTTGGACCTCAAGGGTGTCAAAGTTTTCACCTTGCTGCTAAACAGCTATTTGCCATCGTGTTAAGGGGGTTGTTGAATTAATCACCGAATAAAACAGGCTTATTCTGAGAAAGTTGGCGATGGGGCATGGGAAGGAAATTTAATCCAGAGCGCCAAATATCAAGTGGAAATGACGTTTCCTCACATTTGGGGGTCTACCAGAGACAACGGCGTCCTGGTCCAATGCGACCCCGGGGCGGAGCTGCTGCTGAGGGATGAAATACTGCACTCAGATCCTGGTTGGGTGAACGATAATAGTCACAGCAACACATTTCTTTTCGCATTTCTTCTTTTTGTTAGGAACTAAAGGTTTTCTCCTTAGCGGAAGTGTTCTCCTTAGCAAACAATTTAGATGAAAAGATAATCATTTAAGCCAATCATTTGTTTCTCCAATTTGAATTTGAAATTTGATTTAGAACTGTGGACAGGCGAGCTGACAACACCTCGATTTTTGTGAATTTGAAATGTTTTTTTTTTTACCTTTTCAAGTACCTGAAAAAACAATTGTTGATTTATTGTATAATGGTGAATTTGTGAAAAGAATAACACTTTTTTGGTGCCAATCACACAAGAAGTCCTGTGCCATTACGTTTTCCTTTTAATTAAAGGCATGATAGTAAGTATACGCAGTAGCTTGCTGCAAAGTACTGCTTTAAATATTCATGGGTGATTCCAGTTTATTCGAACATGAAATCTTGGGTATAAGTCTAGCGGATTATAATAACATTATAGTTACATAAGAAATTACAGAAATCTGGAAACATAGAGACATTCCTAAAATGATTATCTGAATTGTGGTTTGTATATAACATTTATTTTGCCCTGCTATAACACATTATAACCATGCATTTCATTTTAAATGTCAGTGATACAGTAGGTCAAGATTGTGTCTCAACGCTGCTCTATAAACTGTTATGGATTTTTACAAAGAAAGCGTCGTCAGCATCTAACTGTTTGCCTTCGTTTCCTTTTCCAAATCAGTTTCCTGAACGTGACTTTGTTTGAGTTTGTTTCAAACGACTTCCTGTGTTCTTGTCCGTTGAATAGCTAAACCTGCAAAACTCATAGAAATAACAATAATAGTAATATTAGTGCTTTTTGTCTTCTCGGTGGGGGCAGAGTGATGGTCCTCTCCAAGCGAGTGTCATTGTGGTCGGTGGAAGAAGTGCTGGAGTGGGTGCAGGACCAGCACCCAAACCACTTGGGCACGCTCCATAAAGCCATAATAAAACACGCCATATCAGGTACAAATCACGCATCAAATTAAAAATTAAATCCTCCATAAGCCGTTTTAGATTTCAAATTTGTGGAATAAGATTTTGCTTTAACGCCCTCCCGAGTCGTGAATGGATGATCGCTGGCACTCATGCAAACCCCTCTCTCCCGAGGCCGCGCATTGTTGAGATTAAAGGATCATCACCTGGAGCTGCTCGGGTTGGAGGGCAAAGAGAAGCAGCAGGAAATCTGGCAGGACCTCCTCCTCCTCAGAGTTCAAGAGGAAATCGATGAACTCAATGACATCTGCTCTGGTGAGAATGCCAAATGGTTTTATTTTTTCAGGGTGCTGTGAGACAGTGGCGGTAATGGCTGGTTGTCCTTTGGTGGTTGTTAAGGTTATATGCACGGGAATTTCTCATAAAATCAAGTGTGCCGTGCTTGGATATTCTTTTTTTTGGTTTGGTTTGTTCTGCCCCATCTTCGGAAACTATGCCTTCCATTTTTAATCAAAAATGTTTTTATAAAAACATAACTGAGGTCGAACTTTCAGTCCAACGAGAGAAACCTGACCGATATTTTATTTGTACTCTCTGCTACTCTGCAGAGTGTTTTTCTTCATAGCTGGAGATGAAATGCGGCTTCCTTTTTCATTTCCCATCCATTGATTGGTCCATGTGAAGGAGGGAGAAAAGATGGAGTGATGGAAACATAAGTGAACGAGAAAGAAGAATCAATGAAGAGAAAAAGAAACCCATTTCCTTTGTGAAATCTGACCTGTGCAGATGGATGAGATTCGTCTTTGTCTGAGGCCTGCTGTCCATTAGTCTCCGTCTTCTATCTGCCGTGCGTTTGCACCCTGTCACTGTATCAATGTTTTCACCTATACGTTGGTCAAACCACTATAGTCAAGACTTGTTTGCGTATCGCAACGGCAACTTTAATAATTGTAATAGACCTTCACGTCCCCCTCGGGGTGTCTTTTAAATAGTTGATTTTTACTTTAGCGCCACAATTTAGTCAAAAATGTAATTTGTATTGACCAAATACCTGCAAAACTAGCGACAGGCTTCGCTGCACGTCAGTGATGGTGAGCACTAATAGGCCCATCTCACAGCGGCCGATTTGACATGTAATTGCAGGGTAAACATATGTGTAATTAATAACACTAATTATGGCCCTGTTCCATCTAGGTGAGGACACTGGCATTATGTATGCTGGCAAATTGGATGACTGTGACACACTAAATAGCACGGCAACATAATTAATTTAATCAATTATAGCTGCGTTTACCCTGCTGTGACAAGACAAAATGGCAGACGTGATTAAGGAATATTAACATATAGCACGCAAACACTCTGTACAAGATACGGAACATGGTAAACATTATACTCCCTAACACGTCAGCTTGTTAACATATTCATTTTGAAGGATAATAGTCCTTTAGCTCAAAGCAACTCTCTGCCTCGTGGCTGTCGACTCCACATGATTTATTATCAGAAAAATAGCAAAAAAATATTCACATCAGTTCCCCTGTATAATTTAAGTAAAAAGCTTTTATCAAATTGAATAATATCATAATATCAGGTAAATTAATTTAGCTATATAAATGTGAGACTGCAACCGGTTCAACTAAGTCAAACCTAATGAATGGACCCGTGATAATAAAACAAGGCCCGAAAGTAATCAACAACCAACAATGTTGTAAACGTATTAGATCATGTGTACTACAAGGAGCTCTACTGAGTGATTGCGCCCGTCAATAGGAAAACAGGGAAATTATAGGAAGGTAAAGAAAGAATAAATAGATGTGTTTCCATTTAAGCATTTCAATGTGTTGAATACAAATGTCCTATTAGCCTTTTCTTTTCTTGGTCGCACACATTCCTAGACTGAAAGTCATTGTAAAATCTGTCCTCTGGTCTTTGACTGAGAAACCACACACAATACTCTGTTTCCCTGGAGTGAAGATTGAAAATATTTACAGAAAAATATTCTACTTTCTCGATTTTTATGTGTTTTTTATACATATACCGGTTGTGTGATTAATCCTTGCATTTACAACTCGTCAATGTCTTACATGTAAGTGGTCCAGCATCAGCTTCATTTTCCAAAATGCCCTATTTCCTTTATGTATGATGTTGGCCTCATTTTAAAGTGTATTCGAGGCCTCCACATATTTGCACCACTTACGGTAGAAGGTTGTGTCTATTTCTGAACATGCGGCTGTGGAAAAGCTACAATATGTTTGCTCTAATTAAAAGTGCCGCTTTGGCAACACAATCGTGACTTGTGTGTGTCATCTTTCCACTTTTCCAGTTCCGGCATCATGCTTCTCATACAAACACCTCTTCCTGAAGAAGCCTCAGAAACCACTTTGACTATTGAAATTAAAAGGTCATAATAATAAGAAAGCAAAGAAATGACTCACAGACATCCATAGCGTTAAGCTGCACTGGATGAGTTTGGAAGACCTCAGCCATTTAGAAACAAACTAAAAAGATAATTATATTTTGTATATAATTGAAAAACACTAATTCAAAACTCTCACACATGAAGGCTACAAGTGGGAGGAGGCGTACTGCAGGCAAAGGGCAACACACAAAATGTCTATAAAGACTTAAAAAGGCTCGGTGAGTGAAAGCCTTCGCGCATGTTCACAATTATATACGTTTCTGGGAAAAGAAACCTGTCAACTGACCTTTCCTCTCCCTTTCTGACGGCTGCAGTGTGTGTGTGTGTGTGTGTGTGTGTGGTTTGATTAATACCTCAGGAGACGGTTTGACATTTTATTTTGCGGGGCGTGGCCCAGGAAAGCGCTCACTCAGCACAAACCCAAATCCACCTCAGTGAAAAAGTTGCTGTGTGTGGAGGCGTGATGAAATACACCAGTGACCCCGACGACACTGCCAGAGGCAAATCTTCACCACTAAATGCACATTCAGCTCGTATCCCAATGTTAGAAAACAACATCACCAGAGAAAAAAACAAGAGAAAATATTGCCTAAATAGTTCAATAAATTAACATTCTTTCCCTCTTCTTGAAATGCTTGCTGGCTGCTGGGATTTGCTCCCGTTCACCCCCCACTAGCATTAGTGCCTTTGGGACCTAATGGCGAACAAAACCAGACACACTGGTGACGTCATAACCAATTTGAAAAGAGTTCAATGGGATGACACATGACATAATACATATTATTGTCTATGAAATACCATTGTACACAGTAGCATTGCGTTTCCCTCGCCTAAAAAGATCCAGTCCAGGGTTGTCACATTAACCCGTCCCGATATTGTCTCTGAGAGATAAAGGATCGAGGGAAACGTTTCAAACAACCAGGCAGAGAGTGCAGCGACAGTGATGGCGACCAGCATTTCAAACGGTTAGAGGTCAACTCCTCCTCCTCCGAGCCGAAGCAACCTCTCTGTCGCCGCGCCAATAACCTGTTGCTCACTACACGTCACGGCATTGCTTTTTGAAAAGTAAAATGACCAACTTTGGTTTTGGCTCTCTGTGAGTAGTAATTTGGGACATTTTGTGCCATCAAACTCCAGTTGGTTTCCTCCTCTGCGGAAGCTGTTGGAGTGGATGGAGATTAGAGGGTGATTTTTGTATTCTTGTTTTGCTGGTTCTCAAACCTTAGCAAACAGGAAAAGAAGCTCACGATTAGATAATGATAATAATCATTTCGTTTTTCCGAAATCCCTTTTTGGTTTTTCTTGTAAAACGGAATGCAAAGCGCAATAGCTAAGCCGCAAATACGTGTATTTCACGGTGAACGTCCAGGCCGTAGAAGGTCTGTTACACTCTCTGATTGCTGAGTACCATTAGAAAAATATAAATAAATAATCCGGGGCCGATGTCGACAACAGTGATTGACTGCACATAGATTCAGTCACGCGGCACATGGGGGCGGATTGGGTTGAGCAATGGACTCAGCTGTGATATCACTAATGGCCCCACAATGCTCCCGTACTCACTCACTCACATTCATACATAGTAATGCTGTTGTCACTTTTGCGCAGAATGCTTTCCTAAAAGCACATACGTGCGTTTTGATACAGTAAGTGTACTCACATTTCTGCATACGGCCTCTTTGCTTGCGTGTGTGTAAAAAGTGAAACAGTGACTTGAGAGCAACCAAACGTTACTTTTCAATTTTCTTGCAGTCTGTGCTTGTTTGAAAAATCAATCCGACCCTGCGGTAACCAACTGTGGAGCTGCAATCTGTGTCCAACAAATATCTGTCTACATGTGTTGCACTTGTTCAGTCACGATGCAGAGCGAGTAGGTGGTGGAGTGAGAGTAGAGGAATTAGTTCTGGAGCCCGTAGCAATTCACCAGCAAAAACTTCTTCTAACTAACTTCTAACCTCCAACAGTGAGGCTCGAAGGGTGACTGAACCTAAATGTTGAGGAGGTAATGAGTTTTGCACTGTGTTGTTAATACTGAAGTTATTTAAGTATTCTGTAACACTAGATTGAGCCTGAAGAATGAAGATGAAGAGAGAACAACATTTCTTATCAGCTTTCATTTACTAAAAAGATCCCTTTAACATCCCTGTTCTGAAGCTGCTCTCAATTCCTCCCCAAGTCTTTATTATTTAATACATTTTAGCTTTCAATTCAGCCTCTTAATTTTTCCAAAGGTTTCCAGCTGTATTCAAAACAGGTTGAGGCAGGAGCAGTTAAATGAATGCTTTATTCACACAGCGCCGTGTTGACTGAGGGATACACGCGGGTGTTAATTGCAGCTTGCTTACCGCTTAATCTCTGGACATTCTCTGTGTTGTTGATGCTCGGACCGTTTTCAGTTGTTATTTGACGCGTGTTTTTGGCTCTGGGTTTGGTGAAACGATGCACCTGTTTTAGGAGCGAACAGAGGGGGGGATGAGGTGGGGAGAGGGATAACAGAGACAACTAAATAAAAGCAGATTCGCTGGTACTGCTGAGTTTATTAGCAGAGCGCACCTGTTCACAGGCTGCAGCAGGTGCCTCCGGCAGACGAGGCCAACGTGCATGTGTGTGCCCGTGTGTGTGTGTGTGTGCACACAGACCGGTCCAATCACTGTGACCGTCTGCTACCAAACACACCCATTTGTCAAGACAAACTAGTGACACAGTATGGAAGGCAACAGCAGCAACAAAACAACACCAAAAAAACAGTGTACTTTATACCCTGGAAGTATAGGAAAATGGGTTTAGTCAACAAATGGTCCATCTATTTTCCCCTCACGTCAATGGACTCGTGGCACTTGATTTATCTTCTCTGTATCGGAAGCAGCGAAGTGAAAAGAGATGGAGGGGAAGTGGGGCTCCTGCTGCCTTTAAGTCTTGGGGGGGGGGGGGGGGGGGAATCAGTCATGGCTGCAGCGCTGATCAGAAACGTTTTTAATCAGGGCGTCTTTAACCACTCCAGACGAGTTCTGCAGTAAACACGAGCTCCGTTCTCTGGGTGGCAGATGGTGAGGCTTTCCATCCAATAATAAAATAGTATTTCCACTGCACACAAACATCCCTTTCACACCCGTTTTTAATTTGTATTTCCTGTGAATTCACCTGTGCGATTCAGTTCTCATGGCTTCCAGGGGCAGATCTCACGTGACTTCATCAGTCAGCCTCCGTCCGTTTTTTATGTTGCAAAGATGCTTGTAAGCTTGTTGGCGGATCGATAAAAGAAACAAACGATAAAATCCAACGTAAGGAGGAAGCCAGTCCAAGAGATTTTGGTAAAATGGGAGTTTCAGGGCAACAACTGACTGTTCATTTGTTCTTAAGACAAATGCCGAGGGTGGAGATGTGTTTTGAACATTTCTCCTGAACTCCGCTGGCTCTGCTGATGTTCATCACTTCTGTTCTGCTCAACGATTTGTCCCCCGTTAAATGCATTTGCAGCGCACAGTAACAATGTGCGATGCACACATTCATGTAACTGTTCTCTTTTCACTTATGTCCACCAGATGTCCATGACTGGAGGAACTCTGCTATCAATGTTCTCTGTAACTTTAAAGTGATTGATGTAAATGTGTAAAGATGACTCCGCATACAAAATCGCAGAGACTTTGGGATGCATTAAAAATAAGTCGGCAAGAAAAAGAAACAATAAAAAAAACAGCTAGCGACATTTGTTTGGAAATAAAAATGAAGGTCAACATTCAATCCCCTGACTCCCTGCTGCACACTGCTCACCTGTCTCCACCTGTCCTTGCCAGAACTGCAGCATACAACCAGCCCCTTTCCACTCAGAACACTCAGAACACAACATTATGATGCCTGCTTGCTCCTCATCACATGATTACCCACTACACTAAATTATCCCTCTTCACACACCGACTTGAAAGTGTCTGAGAACGTCCTTCGTTTGGCTTCACACAAATACTTTACTCTGGTTAGTCACTGAGGCGCGGCTCCGACCATAAATCAAAAACGTGTGTGTGCGTTTGCAGTATTCGGTATGTTTTGCATGCGTGTTTGTGAGCAGGCTTTTAAAACAGAATATTAAAGTTGACAGAATGACAGAGTGTACTGCGCTGGGTGTTGTGGATAATTGAAATGCCAAAACCTCAAGATGGCCGCTTATTTTTAGCATGAATTTACAGCTTCCATCACAAGCCTTTAATGTTGAAAATATTTTAAAAGGAGGATGTGAGAGAATTTATTTATCCCGGTGAATAAACAGACAACTTGACGTTGACATAAACAGAGTATCACTGCTATTACTCAGACACGCATCAACACAAAGCCTGCTGAGTGACAGTTTGGATTTAATTCACTTGCTTGTTACTCAACTGAAGAAAATTTTTCATTATTATATATACAAATATTACACTCACAGTATAAATAAGCATATTTGAAACCCATATTGCAGATTCCTGTCTTAATCTGACTCTAGTAATCAATGCTCGATACGGTGCATGGCCTCGGGCACAGACATATGTGACTGTTGAATATCCCACTGCAAAGACAGACACCGCGCCGAGGTATTTAAATGCCTGGCTGCAGCGGCAGGAGTGAGCTCGGACAGTCGGTGTTCAGAAACGGAAACGGAGGAGAGCATCTTTATGTTGTAACACAGTACATTTGAGCATAGGAGATTTAGGATGAAGGATTTAAAGCGACTTCTTTTACCCTTCAGGAAAAAGTTGCATTCTGCTTGATGTCACGTTACTATTGGATGAAATTGGTGCTTAGAAAAGCACGCGTATTGTTTAGTTTAACGGGAAGAAACGTTGATTGGATTTGTTATATAACTGCTAAATTGATTTAGCATATTGTTTCATTTGGAG